GGCTCAGGCAATCCACTCACCTCCGCCTCCCAAAGGCACGGGATTCAGGCTGAGCCACCTAGCCCGGCTTGTTTAAACAAGTTTAACTCAAATATAATAAATAAAATTTCACCCTGTCTTTCTCATTTCACTTCAAGACAAAAATTATATCCCATAATGCATTCAAAAGTCAAATACAAATGATACGGGGACTATCTATAGTGCAGCAAGCAAGCAGCTGACATATCAATAAATTAAAACATATTACTGAGTCCACAAAATGTTTCAGAAAATTCTCCAGCTCTCACCTGGAGTTCAGGGACAGAAAGCACAGATTCCTCAGAAGCTGATGAAATTTCATCTTCCTCATCTTGGGTGAGGTCATCGAAGTCCTCTTCTTCTTCTTCCTCTGGGCCATCTTTCTCTCCTCCGGTTTCCGGCCCCGCTGGTGTCCCCACTGACTGACCATCCATACTGGATGAGTCTTCAGGCTTCCCTGGGGGGGTACCAAGCACCATTTCAGGAGGGTCCGTGGAAGACGAGGCATTCTTTGGCGATCCTTTGCTCACATCTCCCCCTGCGTTTCCTTCATCAGGAGGTTCATGAGAAGCTGAGGGGGCTCTGGCGGGCTGACTCCTCTCCTCTTCCTTTGGTGAGACTGTCTGTTTCTTTCTCTCTCTAGCACTGCTCAACTCCTCACTTGGGGAGCCAATGTCCAGTTCCACAGAGTGCTCTTCTTTCACTTCATCACAAATGTCCTGCTCAGGGGATCCACCGAATTCCTCCTGAGTGTCTTCAGGTTCCATCTTGACAATTTCCTCTAACTTCCCAGGGAAGGAGTTTAGAGATTCCTGGAAGTCCTGAGGCAGTGGCTCCACAGCTTGCCTTCCCTCCTCTGTTTTCACAATAGTCCAGCCATAGGCACTGTTATCGGACAATCTTTCCTGGCACTCTTTATCTGTTGGTGGAGGTCCTAGGCTAGGTTCCACTTTGGGAAAAACAGTAGCACAAAGAGGAGGTAGTTCCTGGGGTTCTAATTTGGGTTCTAGGCCCTGAAAGGCATTTTTCCCTTCAGCCAAAGGACAATTAATGTCCACATTCACTTGGGCCTTATCTTCAGAGGTGGCTGGTATAGGAAGATTCACCGAGTTGCCAGAAACAATTAAGGGTGAGATGGGGGAGGCCACAAGGGGCTGGTTCAGTGGACAGGGGAAGGAAGTAGGGTTAACCAAGAGGGTAGTGATGGGAATAGTCTGGGGGCTCTGGGCCACAGTTGCACTGACAGGCTGGATCATGTTACAGCCACTGCTGAGGCTCAAAATCTTTACAGTGGTGGCAGGCACAGTGAAGATAACGGGGGCAGAATGAATGAGGGGGGCAAGTTTCATACAGGGAGAGGCTTTGGCCCTCTTTCTCTTTGAAGTCCTCCGTTTCACACATGGCTTTCGAAACTTAGAGGGGCCAAGGGAGGGTAATATTACCTTGGGCACAGGAGTAGAAGAAAGCAAGGTCTGGGACTCAGTTGGAAGAAAGCTGGTTGTGGCCTCAGAGGGCAGAGCAGGCAGTGCTGCAGGAGACTCAAAACTATCACTCCCATTGACCCCCAGTGGAGGGACACCAGGAACTGTCTGGAGAACAGTGGCTGGCTGGATCGGGTGAGGAATCCGGACCACCATTTTGCTCGGAGGGGCTTCTGACTGAGTTGACCTGGCTGGCATTTTCCCCGGGTTGAAGCTAGGCTGGAAAGAGGGGCTGGGTCGGATAGGGAGGGGCTTCAGGACGGACGATCGCTTCTGTCTCCAAGCCTTCCTGGAAAAATGGTTGGCAACTGGCTTCAGTTTCAGGACTACACCCTTAGGCAACAGCAGTGGGTACCGAGTTTCACTCCCCAAATCCGAGCTGTCTTTCTCTAGGCCTCGATCTGAATTGATCTCAGAGATTCCAGTCACATTTCCTACCTCTCTAGCTCCATCAGCTATTTGCCGCAGTTCATCCTGGATGGATGGCAGGCTGGCCTAGTGAGAACAAGAACACTCTGATCCAACACATGTAAGAATATGGGAAAAGACAAGGGCTTTCTAGATTTTAAGGACCTTTTTGAGACCAGCTAAACACATTTCTCTAAGAGACATTTCTCATATCAAGTTTTTGTGAAGACCATATTCCAATTATATACCCTAGAAACTCTTCTCTGAATCTCCTTTACAGAATTATTATTTTACTGATTACTCTTTTTTTTTTTTTTTGAGTTGGAGCCTCACTCTGTTGTCCAGGCTGGAGTGCAGTGGCACACTCACAGTCACCACAGCCTCAACCTGCTGGGCTCAGGTGATCCTTCTGCCTCAGCCTTCCAAGTAGTTGGAACCACAGGCATGCACCACCATGTCTGGCTAATTTTTTGATTTGACATAGAAATGCGATTTCATCAAGTTGCCCAGGCTGGCCTTGAATCCCTGAGCTCAGGCGATCCTCTTGTCTCGGCCCCCCAAAGTACTGGGATTACAGGCTTGAGCCAACATGCCCGGCCTTACCCATTACTTTGAAAAGGTTCTAGAATCACTGGGGGATGGGCAGCAAAGTAAGGAAGGAGGGTGAATGAGGGAGATTTCTCACGTCCACTTCTACAACTATAGCATCCAGGAATTAAAGGAGCCCTTGACATTTCTGCCAGAATTTCCTTTTTTTTTTTAAGTTGGGGTCTCACTCCGTCGCCCAGGCTGGAGTGCCGTGGCACACTCACAACCATCCCAGCATCAACCTGCTGGGTGCCGGCGATCCTTCTACCTCAGCCTTCCAAGTAGCTGGAACTATAGGCACGCACTACCACGCTCGGCTAATTTTTGATTAATTGTAGAGACGAGGTCTTGCCAAGTTGCCTGGGCTGTTCTTGAACCCGCGGGCTTAGGCAGTCCATTTGCCTTGGCCTCCCAAAGTGCTGGGATTACAGGCTGAGCCACCAAGCCCGGCCTGTGTCAGAATTTTCAATGATATTTGGACTCTTGCAGACTCTGAGAAGGCAGATTGTACCTTTAACCAGAATGGGAGCCGGTGTTCTTCCCTCTCTACAGGAGGCTTCCACTGGTGGGGCTGGATCTCTTCACAACACTTCACTAAGACGGGTAGTTGTTTGGTCTTCTTATAAAACTGAACACGAAGAAATAAAGCATAAGTTACATTCCTTCCAGATACATTGGCCTCTGTCAGGCTGGGGAATTGAGGGGATGGTGGTTTGAGATACACAGACATACATACATACTCAAACATCTATATACATACATTCATAAATGAGCATATACCGAATACTTTTGCATTTCAAATTAAACTAATCTCTATTTAAGATGTTACGATTACTCAGTATCTTCTAACTGATGATCTCCATTCTGGTTGCCAGGAAGGAGAAAGTCTTGTAACTGAGAAAAGGAAGCAGATGGTCAAAGTAATCTTTTTATTTTTGAGTTGGAGTCTCACTCTGTTGCCCAGACTGGAGTACAGTGGCCGCTCCCAGGCACCGCAGCCTCGACCTGCTGGGCTCCGGCAATCCTTCTGCCTCAGCCTTCCAAGTAGCTGGAACTACAGGCATGCACTACCACGCCTGGCTAATTTTTGATTTATTGTAGAGATGAGGTCTCGCCAAGTTGCCCAGGCGGGTCTAGACCCCGCGGGCTCAGGCAATCCACTCATCTCAGCCTCCCAAAGGTGCGGGATTGCAGGCTGAGCCACCGAGCCCGGCTTCGAAGTAATCTTATATAAGATTTGCTCCTGGCCAAGCATGGTGGCTCACACCTGGAATCCCAATGCTTTGAGAAACTGAAGCAAGAGGATCACTTAAGGCCAGGAGTTCAAGACCAGCCTGGACAATAGAGTAAACTCTTGTCTTTAAAAGAAAATTAAAAAATTAGCCAAGTGTAGTGGCAAGTGCCTGTGGTTCTAGCTACTCAGGAGACTAAGGCAGAAGGATCACCTGAGCCCAGGAGGTCAAGGCTATGGTGAGCCATGATCATACTACTGCACCACCAAACTCCAGCCTGAACAACAGAGTGAGACTCCAACTCCCCTCCAAAAAAAAGAGAGAGAGAATATTATCTATGTGACAGATACTGTGCTACAAGCTAAATACACAGATAATAAAAGCAATTCCTGCTCTCAAGGAAATGACAGACTAGTGGGAGACACTGTTAAGTATACCAACGATGATAGTCTATGTTTAAAAAAAAAGGTACAAAGATACACATAAAAAAATGACAGAGAAATGTCAAAAATTGGACAAAAAAGACTTTTCTGGAGCAGAAGCAACTAAAGATGGATCTTTTTTTTTCTTGTTGGAGACTCACTCTGCCACCCAGGCGAGAGTGCAGTGGCATGCTCACAGCCACCACAGCCTCGACCTGCTGGGTTCAGATGATCCTTTTACCTCAGCCTTCCAAGTAGGTGGAACTACAGGCATGTGCCACCACGCGCTGACTAATTTTTTGATTTATCACAGAGACGAGGTCTCGCCAGTTGCCCAGGCTGGTCTTGAACCCCTGGACTCAGGCAAACCTCTCGTCTTTGCCTCCCAAAGTGCTAGGATTATAGGCATGAGCCACCATGCCCAGCCAAGATGAATCTTAATGGAACAGAATTTGTTATATCAGGCAGGAGAGGGCAGAGTATGCTTCATGTGCAAAATCATGGATGTGGTTAAGGAACCAAAAAGAGATTGAACTGGCTAGATATAAAGAATGTGGGGAGACTTCAGGAGGCAAAGTCAAGTAGGCAGCGCAGGCCTTCTATGCCATACCAAGCAGTCTGAACTACACCCAGACGAATGAGGAAGGGACAGCGATGGCAGCAATGTGAAGAGCGGAATCAGTGGGGCCAGAATTAGAGACACCGGAGAACTGTTTTCATTCCCCTGAACAGTTTTCCCCAATGGTAACATTTTCTTTTTCTTTTTTTTTTTTTTGATTTGGAGTCTCACCCTGTTGCCCAGACTGGAGTGCAGTGGCCACTCTTAGCCACTGCAGCCTCGACCTGCTGGGCTCTGGCGATCCTTCCACCTCAGCCTTCCAAGTAGCTGGAACTACAGGCGCACGCTACCACACCTGGCTAATTCTTGATTTATTGTAGAGATGAGGTCTCATCAAGTTGCCCAGGCGGGTCTCGAACCCACGGGCTCAGGCAATCTACTCACCTCAGCCTCCCAAAGCGTTGGGATTACAGACTGAGCCACCGAGCCTGGCTACTGGTAACATTTTCTTACACAGTAACCAGAGTTATATATACAAACAGTCCAATATCAAACAGTATACAGTCCAATACCAAAACCAGGAAACTGGCATTGGTACAATCCAAAGATCATGAATAGAGACAGTTTAAAGGTAAAAATATGCTTCTCATGTACTTTCTCTCTGAATGCTACTCAGATGTGCTCCACTAAAATAAGGAAGTAAAGCAAAAAGATGGGAAATTCAGGAAATAAGAGGATCCAACTCAGTAAGAGGCAAGAGGATCCCCAGATGATGGTGAAGAAAACGTCCAAAGACATTAGTGCAGCAAGCCAAGAGAGCAACACACTTAGAATGGAATTGCCTCAGAGTCCAGGGAGTGATTTCTTGAAGGTGAAAATAACAGAACACCTAGAATGCTTGAACATATGAAAAGGAGATTTTTTTTAAAACTGAAGTAAATTTTAGTGTTAATCTGTGAATAAATATATGATAAAAACAAGTCCTGACCCATTTCCCTAAAAATGCAATTTTTAACTCTAGGAAAAACAAAACGTTAGCAGGAAAAGCAAAGTATCATAATACACTACATAACTCAGAGGTGAGGAGCATTTCTTTCTTTTTTTTTTTTTTTTGAATTGGAGTATCAATCCATTGTCCAGGTTGGAGCGCAGTGGCATGTTCACGGTCAACCCAGCATCGACCCACTGGGCTCTGAGGTTTCTTCTGCCTCAGTCTTCCAAGCAGCCGGAACTATAGGCGTGCGCTACCATGCCTGGCTAATTTTTTATTTATTGTAGAGACGAGGTCTCGACAAGTTGCCCA